ATCTATGTCGTTTGTGAGTGGAATTATTACCTTCGTTGTTGTTTTCTTGGCAGGATTATTGGTCGACTTGGAGTGAACGAAACATCGTTGCAAGTGGCGCATACAGTGCGTTGGATAGCACCATTTACACGCATTGCTGAGAGCGCCCAGTACGGTTTTCAGGGCGTGTATCAGTGGAATGAGGCATAACAAAAAGGTGGTACAAATTTTGATCACGTATTTGTGGTTTGTTGGATTACCGTCGGAGCTTGTGTTTGCCTGTCTCTTTGACTGGGGTCTGGCTGGAATAGTTGGAGGCTTGCCTATTGGATTGATATTGGGGGGGCAGCAGTGTTGTGGGACCTCACAAAGGTGGATTGGAAAAAGGTTGTTTAGGGAGTCAGGCAATTGCTGCTACAAGTGACGGTTGGAAGATGATCCCAGTGTGAATCAGTGCTCGCTCCACGTGGACGCCTGCTCTGCACCACTCAGAGTTCATCGGTAAAGGAGCGAAAGTTGTATCTTTCATTGGGGACGTGAACGCGACATTCGATGCAACGTGTCGCATCCATCTGGTGGTAACTATTATTTTCCTGCGCACACAGACAGCGGCAATAAGAGAGAGGGGGAGAGGGAGAAAGGACTGCAGTAAATGTGGGAAATTTGCGTGGGCCATTTTGTGAATGGGCTCAATTATATCGACAAACGGCATCGATATGTTGATGTGTCTTTTAAAAAGAAAAGTGATTGAGGTTGTTTTGTACGGGCTGAGCTGAGAAGCTAAAGATTCCCACCATACCAACTGGGCTCTTGTTTGTTTTGGTTAGAAACAGTGCTCGACGCCCCCTCCCCATCGTTTTTATTTTTATTTGGCTCCGACGCTTCTGAAAAGGAGGAAAATATTTTTAGGGGAAAAGCGACCAGGTGTCGCTGAGCAACTGATATCGATTTATTTTGTGTTCCCCCCGTTTTTTTGTTGTTGACTTGATTTGGTTCCTACGAGAGCGCGTTGTACGGTGGTGTGTGCGGTGTTGTTGTTGTTTTTCGTTTCTTCCCCAAACTAATACCTGCCATGATCCTCCGCGCGGAGGAGCCTGGTGGCTGCAGGGCCCTAAAGACCGCCACTTCGTCGGTTCACAGCGGGAGCCCAGTTATCATCGCCTGTACTTCATGCACTTATTTGGGTATTTGTGCGTGTGTAATGACTGTGGGATAATATTATGGTGACTGTGACTGCGTGTGTGTGTGTGTGCGTGTCGAATATGCGGAACTAAAGCTGCGATCTCCCATTATAGGACCTTCTCGTGGGTTATATACCTGGGTTCCACGCTGGTGCCCATTATATGTGGCGGTTGACCGCTGCTGTGTGGAGTCCGCGTTGCAAATATAGGGACGCACCATATAACTTTTGTTTACGTCAGTTCCCCACCCACTTATGCTTCACCGTGCGCAGGTGCCGCTGTGGTGTGTGCGTGAGGGACCCGAAACAAGCCTTCGTCTTTCCGTAGTGACGCCCGCCATTCTGGTGGGGAGCAGGGAGGGGTACGGCACCCCACTGGTTGGGCATCTTTCGCTGACGGGGCTCTTGGAGTCTCCGTCGTCGCCGGCAAGCCCTCGGGTGACACAAAGCGTGTCCCTAGTCCATCTGCGGAGGACAAGGCCCGCATGGACTCCATAGTGCACCCTCGCTGCCATAGGCGGTTCTCTCCGCAGGGCGAGGTGCGGCACAAATTGCGCGACTGTTGGCGAGGGGTCTGTTGGGGGCAGCCGCTGTGCGGTGTCGCGCGCATAGGGCCACGCTCTGTGTACAACGTGCTGGAAGAAGACCCTTTTTCCCCCGGTTTTTTTGACTTGGAGGGTCTTTTCTATTGCTTCACGCCGTGGGTGGAGGGCGCCTGTCTTCGAGAGGGAACGACGGGGTCGTGAGGAAAGGAGTTTCCGGCGATGCGTGTCGCCGTGTGGGTTGTGACAGGCGTGCTCCCTGCTGGGATTTTTACCGTGTCTGTGCAACACCCCCAGTGTCGCGGCGGGGCAGAGGAGGTGTT